CATACAAGTATTTTATATGCGAAAACTCTACAGGACAACTTTAAGACCATCCATTTTCCATTTTCCATTCTGGCGGAGCCTGAAACAGAGTCTGAAGAACTAGCCCCAAAGAAACTTAAGCCACCACCTATCTTTGTTCGGGAGAAGATCTCCAACGTCATAGTCAACAAAATAGTTGAGCTTGTCGGAAAAGATAACTTTCATGTTATTCCGCTTATGAAAGGGAATATAAGCGAAACCAAACTTCAAACCAAAACAGAAGAAGATTTCCGAGCAGTGTCGAAGTACTTAAACGATGTCAAAAAGAATTACTACACGTACCAGCTGAAAAGTTGCAAGGGCTTACAAGTTCTGCTCAAGGGAATAGAACCTGATGTGACCCCCTCCGAAATTATAGAGGCTTTAAAAGAAAACGGTTTTTACGCAAAGCATGTTATAAATATTATAAACAAAAACAAGAAGCCGCAACCACTTTTCAAGGTCGAGCTGGAGCCAGACACCAGAACTTTGAAAAAAAAAACGCAATGCACCCAATCTACAAGTTGCAGTACCTTCTGCACCGTAGGATCACAGTAGAAGAGCCGCACAAACGGAACGGGCCAGTGCAATGCACAAACTGCCAGAAATACGGACACACCAGGACTTACTGCACCCTCAGGTCAGTTTGTGTAGCTTGTGGAAACTGTTACGGCTCCGAACCCTGCCCTGCCAACAAGGAAGACTCTCACTAAAAAGTGTATAAACTGCCAAGGAAACCACACAGAAAACTACAGAGGCTGTCCAGTCTACAAGGAGATGAAAAGTCGTATGCAACGAGCGACGACGGAACGCCAGAACATCTTCATGAAATCACAAACGACACCGGAAGTTTTCTTTGCAAAAGCAGCCAGGTCATCATTTGGGCCATCAATTGCCACCAACGGCATTTCCTACGCCAGTGCTCTAAGATCAGGCACAGCACAAATAGACCCGAAAATCGATAACATACAGCAGGCCATGGGGCAGACACAAAGTAACATGGAAACTACGATGATAACTTTGCAACAAAATATGATGGAATTTATATCCTTCATGAAAACCACCATGCAAACGCTAATGCAAAACCAAAATATCTTGTTACAAATGCTTGCAGCTCAGCAGTCCAAATAAATTATGCCTAGCCTTCGAATAACTCTGTGGAACGCCAACGGTGTTTCACGGCATATACCTGAAATAAATCAATTTCTAAACGAAAACCACATCGACGTTATGTTGCTGGCAGAAACGCATCTCACCAGCAAATATAACTTTCAAATACGGGGATACACGTTCTACGGCACCGATCATCCAGATAATAAAGCACATGGCGGAACCGGCATCTTAATAAGAGACCGCATCAAACACCACTTTCACCAACGGTTTGCAAAAAATTATCTGCAAGCTACATCGATAAAATTACAATTGGGCAACTGCAACCTTGCCATTGCCGCTGTCTACTGCCCACCCCGCTTTACAGTCACCGAAGACCAATTCATGGACTTCTACAATTTACTTGGAGAGCGATTTATAGCAGCAGGTGATTACAACGCCTAGTACACGCACTGGGGATCCCGCCTTGTGATCCCCAAGGAAGGTAACTATATAATGCACTCATCAAAACATGCAACAAACTGAACTACGTTTCACCAGGCAGTCCTACATACAGGCATACAGATCCTAGGAAACTACCTGATTTAATTGATTGCTGTGACAAAAAACATTCCCCGCAATCTAATATCTGCAAAATCGCTTTTGGATCTATCATCGGACCACTCACCAGTGCTAATAACTCTTCTTCAAAGCCCGGAATTTATCGAGCACCCTTGCAGGCTGACGTCGCATCGAACTAACTGGCTGAAGTTCAAAAAGTACGTTAGTTCCCACATTGAACTAACTCCGCAGCTCAACATCAAGGAGGACATCGACCGCTATGCCGATGCACTGGAGTCTGTACTCGTCGCAGCAGCCAAAGTCTCTACACCGCAAGGGAGGAATGGGCACACACCAGCAAAAGACTAACCTTGAAATCGAACAACTTGTTTTGGAGAAAAGACGTTTGAGGCGTGCTTGGCAAACCAGCAGATCGCCATCCTCAAAACATATCCTTAATGAAGCTGGTCGCAGACTTACCAGGGCTCTAAGGCACGAAGAAGAAAAAGCACAACGCCAGTACATTGAGAAACTTTCACCCACCAGCACCAAGCATCCCTTGTGAAGGGCCCACCCAAATCTAAGTGCGCCGGCCGAAAGAGTAACTCCCATAAGAGACTCTTCAGGCAGCTGGGCCAGAAGCGGCAAAGACAGAGCTTGTACATTTGCTTTACACCTTCGAAATGTTTTTCAGCCAAAGCCTGCAAATTATTCACTCACATTACCGTCGCCGTCAATTCAAATTGGAACTGAGACGGCGCCAATTCTGTTTCAACCAAACGAACTTGCAAAAGTCATTAGCGAGCAATTAAAAACAAAAAAGGACCCAGATGGTGATCTAATAACTCCTAAGATGCTCATTGAACTCCCAAACTGTGCAGTTGAGGTAATTTGTAAACTCTTTAACGGGACTACACGACTTGGCTACTTCCCAAAAAAATAGAAAAAGTCGGTAATCATCATATATATATCAGGAAGACGGAAGGAAGACGGGACGAAATCAGCAGCCGGGACCGGAAAAAGAAGGCACCGAAAAAGTAGGTCCGTTCCAATGAGAAAAAATTAATTTAAAAAAGTAGGGGAAAATAGAATCTAAAATATTTCGAGTAGGTTTACCGTTGGCGAAATAAATAAATAAATAAAATAAATAAAGATACATTATGCAATATCTGGACCACGTGCCACCGGCTCCGGGCCAGACCACTGCAGGAAGATTTATTGCCGTATTCATATACCTTAAAGCCGTTTAATTCACCGCACCACACTGGCACTGGATTTTTTTATTTGAATATTATTTCTTTTTGTTGAATATAAAACAATTATTGCTCTACAGAAAGTATATTGACATAATTTAATTTATAAACGCAGCAATAATGAAAGATTTACAAAGCAATTTTTAATTTAATTTATTTAAATTATTCCTTCTTGAGTTTATTTAAAATTTCGTCCCCAATAATTTATATAAAATTTGTTCGTCCACCTTAGTATAATTTTGTATGTTAATTTATTGAAATATTTATGCAGACCTAAACATATCTATCCAACATGCATATATCGTGAATTGTTTATTAACATATATCCATATATACCATTTCTAAATATTATAAGCAGTACCTATAAGTAAAAGATAAAATTTTATATAATTAGAATTAAGGGAAAGAAAAGAATATACATTTACATAAGCAAAACATAACCTAATGTAAATTTGCGGAGGTCTCGCAACAGTTGAGATGTAAAATAACGAGTAAAGTAAATCACATACACAACTACATATGTATATGCGAATGTAGAGAGAAAAAAAATCGTATATGTATAAATAACTTTAGAAATCCCGAGATAAAAACATCTCAATATTTAACCCCTAGCTCCAAATAGGTAGGGTAATTTAATTGTATAGTTATGAATTAATCAATATTTATATGTTCGTATGTGGGTCAACAATCGTGTGACAAAAATTTAAATCAATTAAAATGAAGTGTTTTTCCTATGAATTTGTCATCGCAGCTGTAGCAAGGGGAAGCAAATAAATGAAAATAAATTAACTAAAGATATTTAATGCAAGGAGTGAAGATGAATATTTATAGTTAATAATAATAACATTATAACGTGAGGATGATGTGCGCAATGTTCGTCTATGGGGAGGGGAAATGAGACTGACCCTGGAGTAGGCTGACGGGAGCCAGCGGAAGGGAGATTTAACGAAGGATGTATGCCAGATCTCAGGTAGGGTGGGGGTGTCGGAGTACATCACCTAAACTCCAATTTGTTCATCGCAAGTAAAGTTTCCAGTAACATTATTTATTTTATTTTTGTTTACATTTTATTTTTGTATTCATTTTGTCTTGTTATGATTTCGTCGGACTGAGATGGCCGATCAGCTGGGCTGTTGTGCGGACTGAGGGCTGGGAAGAACCTTACCATCAGGACTGGCTAGCCGGCCTTGTCCCTTCGAAAAACTAGGTTCATAACACCCTTGTCCCTTTCCTTTTCTTAATTTACATCCATGATATTTACTATTCCTTAACAAAATTCAGAATACCTCCTCAATGCTGACAATCTTAAAGTTTTTAGATCCGTTCGATCACCAGCTGACGCAAAGTTAATACAATCCGACTTAAATTTAATCAGTGTTTGGTGTTGTCAAAACTTTCTGCCAGGTACAGCAAAAGCCTGTTTTATGTCTCAATATCGAATTTTTTATATGTATATGCAGGGTTTGTCACACCAAGATGAGTCGTTGGTCCTTGAAGTATTATTCGATGGCAAATTTAACTTTGCCAAGTATTTAAATATTATTATTCCCAACTCTTATGCCAAGTAAATGTTCGGCATACATACATATGTCCGTCAAAACTGAAATAAGCTGTCTTTCTATGGAGTCCCACGGCAGCATATCACGATAATAGGATTGAGCGTCTTCAAAATTTTTTTTTTAAATTCGGCATATATCCGATCATAATCCAATAGATGGCGCCTGGTTCACTAAACTCGTCTTTAGGACCGAAGAAAGGAAATTACTAGCTGGAAAAAAAGACTATTTCGCCAATGAATCCCTCGGTGGAATTTATTTATTCGTCAACTATTTCATATAAACTTATCTTTGTTGTTTATTTTTTAATAAACACAAGTTTATCCACTACATCCATTGCACAGTGGGTCAGCAATCTAATTTTTAGGCCAAAAATCTGTCATTTCTTTTCCTGTGCAGCTAGGAAGCCCAAAATAAAGCTGAATATTATTTTAAGAGATTGATCTTTTTAACCAACTTAAAATAAAATTTTAAGGGTTTTTAAAAGATATAGTTATTCCAAACCAAAGTCGGAAAATATTTCTATTTTTTGCATATTTTATTCCTAGAAAACAAGTAGAAACCGGAGTCAGTTCATATTAACACACATTTAAGGACAAGATACAACAAATCAAACAAATTTAAACCACTTAAAAATGTTAACATTGTTGCATAACAGGTTGGGTTGTAGTAACATAGTTGACTTTTTAAAAATTATTTGCAAATCCGACGCTCCTGTTCCAGTTTCCGTACGAATTTTATAGAAACAAAGCAAGGGTTGTCATTGTATGATACAAAATAATTATTTTCTTGGGACTTATTTTTAAGAAGTGTAAATTATCTAAGTTAAGTTTAAAAGTATTTTTGTGCTTATTACCCCTTCATTTAATGTACTTATTGTGCAAAACATGTTATGTTGGGACCTTTTTCATCGACATTGGCAACTTTGGTCCCGAACACTGGTGCCAAGCAGGTGATTCACCCGAGTTGTTCGACAGTTTTGTAGGTCCGTTTCCATCACTGCCTCTGAAATAAGTAGAATTTGTTATTTTTGGCTACTAATGATTTTTTGACTAGATTCAGCAGTGCCTGCTGAAAATATTCGGTATGAAACAGCTGACCGAAATTCAGTATATTGCTGCTGAATTTTCAGCAATTCAGAAAATCAGATGGTTGGGACAAATATCAATTATATCGACATATCGATATTTCAAGGCGATATATTCTTTTATAGCGTATTTCCACAAAGATCCATCCTCCTTCGACCATCCGTTGAAGGGATGGTCCAAAGGGTTATGCCGATCCAAAAACTTTCCAGTTAGTCCGCCGTTAAATTTGACGGACTAATGCCCGCTTTCCACACAGTCCATCCGTTGGAAACGGTTAGAATTTTCAAGAAATATGAAACTTCGTCCTCCACAGAGCACATCAGCCTTCCACCTTCCGATTTCAGCTGATCTTAACTGCTGTAGCTCACCAAAACATAAACAAAGATGGTTGACCTGTTGACATTGTTCACGTTTTGACGAGCCACGGTTGTTCAGATCAGCTGAAATCGGAAGGTGGATATGCTCTCTGGAAATCGGATTTTCATATTTCTTGAAAATTCCAACCGTTTCCAACCGATGGACTGTGTGGAAAGAGGGCATTAGTCCGTCAAATTTAACGGCGGACTAACTGGGAAGTTTTTGGAACGGCAAACCTTATGGACCATCCCTTTAACGGATGGTGGATGGATCTCTGTGAAAATAGGATATTAAAACAGAGACTATCGTTGATACGAAATTTACTAAATTTTTAACATCCCTTGTATCTTTGAAGTACTTAGATGATTTTTACTTGGCTCTATTAGGATTTTTGGAGATGTGACTTTGAATGTATGTAACTAACTGAACCAATGCCAATGCAAATTTGAAAGACTAGAGAAGTGTTGACCCCCATTTGACTTGCGGTGCAAAATGAATTAACGGGAATTTGCGTTATCCATTTTATTGACGGGAAAAATTTAATTTTGTGTTATTTTTTTCATCTTTTGAACAGCTGCTTTTGCAATACCGGGTGCCTGTTTGAATGGTCGCTACATCGATAGCCGCCACAAAACATCGATGTTTCCAAAAAATTAAAATACATCGATGCATCAATGTTTCTCCACCTCTAATGAAAACTCCTGCTCGACTGCTCTCTCCCTCAAAGTTGTTCTCTCCATCTCTCTTCAGCAAGCGTAAGAACGAATAGCCAGAAAGTTCTAAAGGTGAAATTTGTTAGAGAAAGAAAAAACAATAATAAATAGTTTGCTTTCATTCTAAACAAAGTAGAAGTGCATATACAAACACGTCGCGGGTCAAGAGTAACTTTTAAAACTAATGCAGTTAAAACATCTGAATCAGCATCACCAATTTTAACCGTTGCCTTAGCGTTGTGATAGTCAGCTTAGACGGATTTTTGGTGTGCTCTGGTTCCGTAAAAAGTAATTGTCAAACCCAAGAATTGCCAAGCACAAATCGTGTTTGCCAAGGAGTCAGCACATAAACAAATTTGTTGTGGCCTAAAAAAAAGAAAAGTACTGCGGGAATTCGGGTTTTCCATCTCACATACATACATATTTTCTGTCTCATCGTCGCCATTTTTAATCAGTTGTTTTTTCACGGGCTACACTACATGCAGCTCGCTCGCACATTCTGGAGAATCGTGTTTCAGTGTTGAAAAGCGCGTCGCAGCTGCCATAAAATAGCAAGACATCGTTTTTAATTTAAAATACATTATTACGCTCAATATGGAAGACCTCACCAAAAACATTATCTTCGCAAATGCTATTAATGGACAACCTGCCACAATTCAATACCAGACGGCGGATGGCACCATTCTTAAACAGCCTAAAATCGAGGGTCAAAAAACGGAGCAGCAACCGACCTTCTACTACACGACAAATGTAAGTGCTAAATTTTATATATGTATGTAAAAGCAATTCCGAGAGTTCGCTTCTCATGTTTGATTTTTTCTAGGGTAATGGCGGCACCGTAAATCTCGCCCAGTTGGCTACCACGGATGACAACAAGACGTGCTACATAGCTCAGCCAGTGGGCGGCTACAACTATGCTCTAGTCAATGGAATGCCGCTCAACCAGGGCGCAGCACTAGGAATCGCCACAGTAGACGCTCAAGGCCGCATCCAGATCGTAAACCAGAACAAGCCAATTGCAGCAGTTAGTTTAGATGGTACAAAACATGTAGAATTCGGTAGAGCTCAAAGCCCTTTTCCTTTGCAGAACACCATATCCAACATTAGCTTCAAATGTGACGTCTGCTCGGATATGTTTCCCCACCTAGCCCTGCTTAACGCCCACAAGCGGATGCATACAGACGGGGAGCAGCAACAGCAGCACAACACCCAGCAAGGGGGCAGCGAGTCTATTGCTGTGGTCAGCGCTCAGGGCTTAGTCCAGGCGCAGAACATCATTGGCAATGGCCAGATGGGCCAGATACAGATAGTGTCTTCCGATACTTTGGAGCCTGTGCAACAATCTGTGATGCAACAGCAGCAACACGAATCCAAAGCAAGCAAGTGCATTAACTGTGGCAGCCCCATACTGCAGCAGTCCAAACGCAAAGGTTCAAAGCAGGTGCGTTGCGAGTCCTGCATGCAGGCAGAACAGGCGGCGCAGCAACAACTTTTCGTGGCGCAGGACGGTAATTGTGGTGTCAAACATTTTTGAAAAGTCATAAGCTTTTTATTTTGTACAGGTCAAATGGCGCATCCCGTGCAGATCATATCAACTACTCCCCAGGCCCAGGCACAGCTGCAACAAATTGTAGCCGCGCAGACAGGCGGCTCGACGCCCAAGAGGGAACCGAGCGTTGGGTCTGGCCATCACCCAGTAAAAAAAAGAAATTCCCAGCAGATGACCAAGTGCCAGAAGTGCAATGGCTCCGGGGTGGTGCTGGTGGGGCAGCACTCTCACGCCGGACACAGCGGAGCTGGCGGAACGGTAAAGCAATCGGTCACTGTCAAAACTGAGTGAGTATAAAATCTAAGTGCAAACCAATTCTACGCTAACAAAACCAAGGTGTTTGTCCTGCAGGAATCCGTCAAAACCCTTCAGTTGCAATATTTGTGGTGGTCTTTTCTCACGCTACTCAAGTCTTTGGTCGCACAAAAAGCTTCACAGCGGCGAAAAAAACTACAAATGCAGCATCTGTGGACTGGCCTTTGCGAAGGCCGTTTATTTGAAAAACCACGCGCGTATTCACACGGGCGAAAAACCCTATAAGTAATAACAATATTTTTTGGTCTTGATTCAAATTACTTAATTTTTTTGTCTTTATACAGATGTCAAACCTGCGGTATGCAGTTCTCACAGTCGCCACATCTCAAGAACCATGAACGCACGCACAGCGGCGAACGGCCCTATGTGTGCGGGGTGTGCGACAAAGGATTTGCTCGCCACGCTACGCTTTGGAACCACAGGCGCATCCACACGGGCGAGAAGCCGTACAAGTGTGAAATTTGCGGTTCGGCTTTTTCTCAGGCTGCCCACCTTAAAAACCATGCAAAAGTGCACTCAGGGGAAAAACCCTACAAGTGCGAGATCTGTTCGGCTGCGTTTGCTGATCGATTTGCGCTTAAGCGTCATCGCGGCATACACCAAAAGTACGGTCAGACGGCGCCTCGTCAGACCAGTAGCGATGGAATGATAGTGCACAAGCAGGAGATTCCTGACATGGATGACGAAGCCCAACAGGAGGTGATCATCGGCGGGTTATAGATAAGACCAACTGGTGCAAATCCAAAGGCGATAGGCAACTTAGCGAAGCTAGCAGAGCAGGGCTTGTTTTCAGAATATGAGACAGGGGCAAATTCTGCTCAGCCATATTCTGGAGGATATTACTACCAGTTGCCTTTACTAGCGCAAAATCCAACACGGAACGCTGCTTTTTCTCAGAGATATTGAGGGGTGGACCAACGAAAATCCATCATTAGTACTGAATAACTAAGCATCGCATTATTATAACAGCAGGCTACTCTGTAGGCTTTTTGAAACATGTGGCGCACCCCAACAGCCCTTTTTATGTTAAAAAAACGATTGGACATAATTTATTTTGTAGCTTGTAAAATATACTTCAAATTACCTTTAGTTATTAACGCACATATATGTACTAATAATATGTATATGGCATAGTACATCTAAGTGTTATAGACAATTTCCTTGCCCAAATTTTAGACAATGAAATGGATTAAAAGACGAACGGGATGATACGGAGGCGACCGAATCTGAAAGGCAAATACGTAAGAATCTGCGCAGGAAAAACATTCATACAGAAAAATGTATATCTGTTTATACAACAATGCGTTTAAATACTAATTTACTATTAAGTCAGAACCTATTCAAATAAAATGTATTTATATTTAGGTAAGTATTAAATAACGCAAATCAAATATTTGAATAAAAAAAAATTTTACTAACGAACTTAGCTATACTCCTTTAATAAGCTAACCGATGCTAAACGAATTCAGCGACAAGTATTTTCAAAAAGTTTGATAGAGTTAAAGAACCTCCCTTAAAAAATTCTGCTTAAGTCATAGAGTAAAAAACATATAGACTTAATTTTCTCTTTCCAACCTCTGCAAAGAGTCTTGTTTGTAGTAAAATTTAATTTCTCACTCCATTTATCAGATTTTTGGTTGAGCTTGAAATTTGGTCTACTGATGAATTTTCAGTTACACTACTCACACTAGACTTTCACAATGAGAAGTAGTAAAATTAATGTTTCTTATTTCTAAATTGTGTTGTGGCCGGGCTATCGATAGCCATATCGAATGTCGGCGTAGGGATGATTTTATACTGAGAAATACTGCAGTTTTTTTTATGGTCACCCCAAATGTTAAAAGGCCGTTGACCCGGCAAATTTAAAACACGAGAGCCGGAGTTCGGGAATGCGATAGGAGAAATTCACGGTCAAGGCGTTAAGACTGCTGCGCTCCGCTCGCCGAAGAAAAGTTTTTTTTTGGGTGCACGTGCGGACTACATAATCCCGGTACCTTGGTGCAACATAACTTTTTTTGAGCTGCAGCAGCGAGCCAGTGTCCACAGGCAACAAAAAGCAGGACTGGGAAGCCTGAAGCGGCGGAAAATCTTGGTAATCGGTGTTCGAGAGTGAGTGTTCCAGAGCCGATCAGACCCAGTTACCAGTTTAAAAAATCAGCCAGGTCACCGAAGTTGGCCTGGCGATTCTTTTTTTGTGTGGTCTGGACAAGAAAGACGGCCAGAGATTAGTTCAGAAAATTATTACGGCGTGGAGGACCGTCACGCTTACCAAGAGGCGGCAACGGGAGAGCCAGATTTTTTTTTATTGTTGTTATTCGATTTTTAGAATAATTAAATATTTTTACCGTGTAGTTGTTGTTGTAAATTCGTATAGTTATTTATTTATTGATTACTATCATTTTTTTTTTGATTATTTTTTATTTACACATATACCAAAATATCTACATCTTCTTTAAGCATTTCTCTTAATTTATATTTGAATGCATATTATATACACGCATTATGCTTACACATAAACGTTTAATAACATCTCATATCCATATTATTTATATTTAAAATTTGTCAAGTGCTTGGTTCATTTGTATGTCTTTTTTTTATATTTTTTATTTATGTAAATTCATGCGTATACCGTAACATTTTGTTTAACCCCCCTGGTAAAGAAAGAATAAACAACCTTAAGTGCTCTTACGGTAGGTCAGGGTCGAGGAGTATACAAATTTTGGGAAACCCGAGAACGTACACTGGGTTGATATGTTATGAAAACTATTAAATAAGAATTATTAAATGAAAATAAGAAAGATGAACATAGAGTAAAGATAAATTAATTTATTAGTAAAAGGGGTATATAATGGTGCAATAAAAAAAAAAGAGTAAATAAATTAAACAAATGTGATGGGGGCAGCTGCAAGTATTTGGCTCAAGGCAGTCTGCATGGTAGGGAGGGAAGAGCAGGTGACCTCCAGTTCACCAGGACGAACCCAAAGAATTGCCAAATATGTGTAGGTTTGAGAAGTCTAATATTTGTGTATTTTTTGTATACCCTTTCAGAGGGTATTATAATTTCAGTCAGAAGTTTGCAACGCAGTGAAGGAGACATCTCCGACCCTATAAAGTATCTATATTCTTGATCAGCATCACTAGGCGAGTCGATCTAGCCATGTCCGTCTGTCTGTCCGTCTGTCCGTCCGTTTCTACGCAAACTAGTCTCTCAGTTTCAAAGCTATCTGCATAAAACTTTCCCAAAAGTTGTCTTTATATTGCAGGTAGTATATAAGTCGGAACGAACCGGATCGGACGACTATAGCATATAGCTCCCATAGGAACAATCGCAAAACAAATACAAAAAAAATATAACTTCGCTGTTTTTAAATTTTTTCTTTTAGTTCTTCGACATATAGTAATGGTTAAATATTTCAGAATTACGGTTTTAATTTCATCAAAATCGGACGAGTATATCATATAGCTCCCATAGAAATAATAAAAATATATAAAATAACTATATAATAATTGAGCTGCAAATCATCATAGCTTCAATGTTTTTAGACATATACGCAAGTAAATCATAATTTTAATGTTTTAAAAAATATTTAATTTTTGCAATAGCTGCAAGGGTATATGAACTTCGGCTTGCCGAAGTTTGCTTCCTTTCTTGTTTGTGTTTGTTAATTGACATTTAAATTCGAATATGACGGTTGAAAATTTAATACTATTTTGTATTAATAACGCGAAAACTTGTGAAATCGAGACGATTTTAATTTGCGAAACTTTGTGAAAACTATGTCGAAAGCGCGACGAAAAGGAGTGGCTACGATGACGTTCGATTGATCACTAACAATTATATTTCAATAATTTCTCTTAGAACCTAACTTATGCTACGGTGGCGAGAGACGGGGCGAATAAGCAAGAGCGAACAGACGAAAGCTTTATTGGCTCCCGCTCTCGCCCTTCAACTAGTGATTTAAATACAAGCGCTGAGTGCGCAAACACCGCCCCCTCTGAAGGGACGACGTCCTTCAGCCCAGAACGGGCAACAGGGCCAGTCGGTGAACAGCTCGCCGATATTCGCCGTCCTGCGTCCTGACGTCCGCCACGCGAACCTTGCTATCGGCGCCGGCGTGCACCGCTACCACTCGTCCGATCCTCCACTGCTGGGGCGGAAGATTGTCTTCTGCGACGACGACGAGCGCTCCCACGACGAGGTTGGGCTCCCCCTGGTGCCACTTGGACCGCTGTTGGAGGCTGGAGATGACCCCGGGACCATCGCTGCCAAAACCTGTGCCTGAGAGACGAGACACCTCGCCATCGTCGCAAGCAGGTCAGGCTGATCTGGTCCGGGAGCTGATGGTGGGGCCAGAAGAGGGCCGCCGATGAGCAGATGCCCGGGGGTCAGGGCCTCGCCGTCGTTCGGGTCGCTGCTTAGAGCGCCGAGGGGCCTGGAGTTGAGCACGGCCTCCACGCTGGTGAGCAGAGTTTCGAGCTCCTCCGCGGTCAAGAGGTCTTGGCCTACCGTCCGAAGGAACAGGTGCTTTGCAGACTTCACACCTGCCTCCCATAGTCCGCCGAAGTGCGGTGCTCTGGGCGGTATGAACGCAAACTCGCATCCTTTTTTTGATGCGAATGTTTCGATACCGCCCCCCTGCTCCTCCAGACGGGCTCGGAACTCTCTCATGTGGCGATCTGCGCCGACGAAATTGGTGGCGTTGTCGCACCACACCTTCTCCGGAATCACGCGACGACTCACGAACCTTTGAAATGCCAACAAGAACGCATCAGTGGTTAGGTCAGACACTAATTCTAAGTGGACCGCTTTGGACGCAAACAGGACGAACAAGGCTACAGGATACGATACGTTGTGCTGAAGGGACCACAAAAATCAACGCCACAAATATTGAACGGGCGGAGAGCTCGAAGTCTATCTGCTGGCAAGTTTCCCATAATTTGCGTCAAGAGTTGCCGCTTACAGCGAAAGCAGCGCATGCACGACTGAACTGTTCGTCGGCAGACTTCTTGAGCATTAACTAGCCAGGTTTTCTCGCGCAGACGACTTACGAGAGCTCGTGGGCCAGCGTGACAGTTCGTAACGTGCAGGTATATAGGATCTGACGAACTGTGAGCTTTTAGACAGCAACAACGGGAATTTGGCTTCGTACGGGATAGGAGCATTCAATAACCGACCACCAACTCGTAGCAATAACGAGGAGCACCAATCTAATTTATTTTCCTGAAGAAAAGGGTTTAACTTTTGAATATTCGTTGCTACCGGTTTATTCTTCCGAATTTTACTTATGTCGTCCCTGAACTCGTGAAATTGGACAACTTCGACAATTTTATCAAAAGCGAAATCCAGTTCTCTTGGCGAAATACTTTTTTCAAAGTGCTTCGACACCTTTCTGCACTTTTGAATGAAACGAAAAACCCACACGAAAACTCTCAGAAGCTTCAGGTGCGACGAAAAGGACTCTATTTTCTGAAGCACATAATTTGGCTGACTACGAGAGCTATTGCCGATTTGCGTAGCTCCATCGATTACATCAGCTGGCAGTTCGAAATGTTTATTTACAGACCAATTATTTTCTGAGTCTAGCAAGAACGAAGGTCCACCGAACCAAATGGACGTTGTAAGCTCCTCTACGTCACATCCTCGGGACACTATATCTGCTGGGTTGACTTTCGTGGGAACGTGTCTCCAAATTGCTTTCTCCGACCACTCCTGAATTTCTGCAACCCGGTTCGAAACAAAAACCGACAACGACGAGGGATGGGTTTTAATACAGTGTAAAGTGATCTCGGAGTCTGTCCACAGGAAAACATTCTCAATGGGAGAATTGAGCAATGGCCTGATACGATTAAAGAGATCTGCTAAAAGGTGAGCTGCACGTAGCTCAAGGCGAGGCAAAGTTTTCGTCTTGAGGGGAGCTACTTTCGATTTGGCGGTCAATAAAGACACTTTCAAACCTTCAGCAGTTTGAGTCCGAACGTAGATGCACGCTCCATACGCTCGCATGGAAGCGTCAGCGAAACCATGTATTTGAATCGGGACTTGTGGATCTGTGTTGACGAATCGCCATACCTTAATTTTAGGCAGCTGCAGAAGCGTCGCTTTAAACGTCTTCCACGACTTGAGCAACTGCATCGG